TATAATCATTTTTCTGAATTCTTTCTCAGGTATCTCCAAGGCCTGCCTTCCTTCCAGCATGGAGAGAAGGTCTACTTCTGGTTCATTTGTCTCAGATATTTTGTCTTTTTACTGGACATATGTCAAGGACCAGCCTCAACATAGGTGTTGGATTCACGAGTGTTTGGTTCACGAGGAGGGGATATCCGTCGGCATCCGGGTAGCAAAAGAATACACAGAAAGACAAAAGAAAGGAGACAAAGAGACATCCCAAAGCCAGGGTGGATACATTACTGGCGTCAGGCAGCTCTGGCGTGGTGAACATATTAGCCATGAGGGCAGTAAGGTCCCGCACGGCAAACATCTTAGCTAAGCGAGCAGTATGCACCCCTTACTAGCTAGGCAGTAATGCATGCCTAGTTAGCTGCATAGCATGTTCTTCAAGCTGTACTACACACTTTCACAGCCTGCCTGCAATGCACACCTGGGCCGTCCTGTGTCTCTGTTTTATTTAGGGGAGGAGCTTCACACCAAGCTGGGAGGGACTAAAACAGGATACAGCTAACATCAGTAATTTTCCAGACATTCAGGTAACTTTACATCGTACTTCGCTGGTTCAAATCCCAGGCCCACAACTTGGATTCTCAGGCTCAATTAACATATCTATAGCCCACGAGCTCAGTTGGGGGAAGGTAAGAGGAAGGACAAAAGGCTTGGGAGGAGTCCCGCTGTTTCGGCTTCCTGAGCCAGGTTTTCAGGAACCTGGCTGAATAACTTGCACTTGGGAGAGATTCAGGGAAGATGGCTTTTTTGTCTGTAGAACAAAAACCCGGGAAGTAGCTAAGATATTTTTAGTTAATCCTTTGGAGAAAGGCTTGACCTTTGAAACCTTTAGTCTCAGCTTTAGGAGGTTCTAATATTTCTCTGTGGATAATAAGGACTCATGTCTGCATTTAATTATAAACAGAACCGAATAGTAAGATTAAAAACAATTTTCCATGACTGCCAGTGGCCTCATTTGTTCCTCAGAGCCTGCGGCCTATATAGTCTACACACGGTCTGCAACAGACATGGGCCAATATGGTCATTTGCTTTTGCTTCTTGGACATGTTTAATGTTTATCTGTGGCCCTAATAATTAATTATGTTTTTTGGTAATTTTTTATGTTTTCTGATTACCTCCAGGAAGATGTGATCAGGATGTTGTCTTCCCTTTTCACTCTCCTTTTTGCTTAACTCAAAGTAACTTTTTTGGGCCTCGGCGGCAGGCCGTTTGAACCTCAGGTGGGTGGGTTGGGCTTAGGGCGGGCGGTTTGGGCCTCTGGGGGCCTGGGCGTCAGCGACCCAGCTGCAGGAGGGTTGGTCCTCGGGCGGGTGGTTTGGGCCTAGGGCGGGACGTTTGGGCCTCAAGGGGCCTGGGTATCAGCAGCTGGGCATCGGGTGGCTTGGGCCTCAGCGGGTGGGTTAGGTGGATTGGGCCTCAGGAAGCCTGTGGCTCGGGGACCGGGCTGAGGGCGGGTTGAGTCTCAGGGGCACTGGGCCTTGGCATCTGGGCTAAGCGGCGGGTTGGGCCTCAGGGGCACTGGGCCTCCGAGACCTGGCTAGGCGATTTGGACCTTGGTTGGGCCTGGGCCTTTGTGACCAGTCTGTGGGTGGGTTGGACCTCAGGGTAGGACT